ATCAAACACAATGCATTCAAATACAATAAGGCACAGGGTTTACAACATGTAATCATAGAGGAAGGAAAGGAACAGCATATAGCAGTGACACAACCACTGTGCCCCAGGAAGAAATGACCCCCGGTTTCAAAGAATACCCAGAAAAAGAATATCCCAAAGGGCACCCTTTAACCCTGCTTAAGTTACACACGTGGTCAGGCCTCAACCCGGGAACTCCCTTTCCCTGCATCTCAAAGTTTGGATAAACTAGCCAGCCTGCCTTGTACTGTTTATGTTTTTATTTCAAATCTCCATGACTATGAACATGAATGGCATGAAATTACTGTTTACTGTTAGAATTGTACTGCAAATCTGAAGACAGTGAAATGTTAAGGTATTAAAATTGTACAAGCCTTTAGCTATCTTTATTAACTTCCTTTGTGCCAGTCAGCAGTATCAGAATACAGCTCAAAATGCTAAGGTGGTAGGCAACTTCCTTCATAGAAATGTGACCTGGATGTTTCCTTCATAATCACTGCAATTGGCATAGACCTTCATCAGCCAAAAGCATTTTAAACATTTGTGGGTTTCAAGTGCAGAAAGGAGGTGACCTCCAGTGATATTCTTCATCCCAAATCCACCTGCAAATCAGTAGTTTCTCTGTACGAGTCCTTTCTTCACACTGCAGAGTGAAAGGTTTGCTGTTGAATCACGTAAGATAATTGCCAACCTAGTTTTCAGCAACAGCACTATCCTCATCATACTTCGGAAGAATGAACAGCCCAACTATCTTTCATTCACTGATTTCTTCATCTCCAACAACTCACAGAGCACAAAAATTGACAAGAAATGCAACTCTTCACTAACACCGCGTTCATCTTATAAGCAAGTCTTATTTTGTTGCACAGCTACTCCACTCTTGAATTGGTTACCAGTGTTAAATTAGATTTTTTTTTTAAAAAAAAATGTCATGTACAAACTGTTCAGATAATACAGACTGGTACTGTTAAGAATTAAATACATCTATGCCATGGTACAACTTCACCCCAGGCTATGTATTGTATACAGACCTAATCACATAAAAAGTTTAATTCATATGAAGATGAATTTACATCTTCACTGACTGTCTGTTTTGCATGCAGATCAGCCCAGCCTCTGGCTTCTTTACTTTTCATTCCATCCAGGAAGAGCACACACCACCTGCAGAAACTTCCTTAGCCTGATGAAGGGTTTTTAAACCCAAAAGCTTGCATAAAATTTCTTCCCCAACTATTTAAAAGTTGGTCTAATAAAAGATATCAGATTCACCCAAAGAACCTTATCTGCCTAAATTCATATGAATGCATTGAGGATCCAGGCACTTTTAAAATGGGCAGCGCACACACTTGATAATCTTCTTATCCAGAGTTAGACCCAACATGTCTTCCGAATATATATACACATATACTCAGATACAACTTCACTAGGAGTGACTTGAGCTGGAAGATTAGTGTTTAGTTACTTTGATACCAAAACAAAACATGCCTGTATGAGTGATATCTTTTATTAGACCAACTAGGTAGTTTAAATGTATTATTATTATTATTATTATTAGCAGCAAGCTTTTGGGCCCAAATACCCTTTGTCAGACAAAGGAGAGTTCAAAGATTGTAAAATTTCTTGAGCCTAATTTGCATATACTCGCAGAGCAGCCTCTTTACAAATGAACTTTCCTACCCAGGAGAACCACACCAGCTTTTAGTTCCCCTGTGCAATGTGAAGGTTTGTTTCTACCTGACAGAAATTTTACAATCTTTGAATTATCTTTTGCTTGATACAGATTGTTTGCGCCCAAAACCTTGCAAGCAAAAAAATCTTTTTGCAACTATCTAGTTGGTCTAATAAAAGATATCACCTCTATCCCAAGAGTTCTGTCTGCCTACACCTCTACAGCAACACAGCTACAACAAATATCCCTGAAACATGGAACATATCATAGTTAGCTGTTTTGAAATGAAAACTGAATGACATAAGAAGAAACAAACAAAATCCAGCATCCTGTCTACCACTGGTCACCTTCAGGTAAGCACCTAGCTCCAGCCTGTGTTTGCATCTAATTTGCATACTCTGAGCAGCATTTTTACAAATGAACTTTACCACCCAGAGCCACACACATTACCTCACCCTCCTTCTCACTTAGACACTGAATTAGTCTTCAAATGCACCCACAAGTGATGGCATATTTACCTTTTTCAGTTTCTTCTTCTTGAAGTGTCTTACTTTCTTTGGACTGAGTAAGGGAAAGAGCAACTTTTGCAGGGAAGATGAAGGATAAACTTCCACAAAATGATGAAGGAAAAAAGTAAGGGGAAAGAAAGAGTAAAAAAGGCCACTCAAGACCAAGATGAAGCAGAAAAATTTCTCAAGCAAAGAAAAAATAACCCTCCATTTATCCTAATGGCCAAGAGTACATTTCCAAAACTCCCATTTAGGAAAAGTTTATAAACTTTGGATTACGAGTGTCCAGATAAGCAAAATATATTCATTCACAATAGTCAAAAAAAAAAGCTATAATTTTGAAATAATGTTTTAATGAACACATCCATTTTCAGGAGGAATTATTTAAAAACTAATAGAAAATATTCTTCTTACTCTATGAAAGATTTCAAAGCTAATCTCGGTTTAAAAAGGTAATTTTTCTCTACCCTGTAAAAATTGTGTTTTATCAGAGAAATGAATTACAATTTGATACCTCATTACAGAAGATATTGCCTTCTGTCTACATAGAGCACAACATAGGATCAGGGCCTGAGTTTCTCCACTGACTGAAAAGGTCTCAACACTAATTTCTGGAAGAAAAGTGGTAAGCCTTTCTGAACTTTGAATTGCAAAATGGTCTTTCATCAAAATCTTTTTACAAACATAACTAAACTTAATGGGCAAGAGTACTCAAAGACTGAATCAGGAACTACATCAGACTCTTACAGCTGTCTCTCCCTTAACAGGCTAAGCAACAAACTGAAATCTGAAAGTTCTTGTGTGTTTGAATCCTAGATCTAAATGCTGTACCTCAGACCTCTCTCTCTCTCTCAAATCTATTTCTCCTTGCTTATTCTAGGTTCATGTGTGGCAGGGCAATTCTTGCTGCTGCTGACATTCAAAGAGCTTCAGCTTAATAGTCTTTTGATTCAAAGAGGACTTGAAACTACTATGAAGAAGGAATAAGCAGCACTGGGAGGTGCAGAAGGGAAGATAAGTGCACTAGAAGATTGGTCCTTTAAACATTTATATTTTGATTTTGGAAAAGAGGAGTGAAAGCAGGAATTGAAGCACAGACCTGGAAAGCAGTGGGTTCTCAACATTTTTAGGCTTAAGGCATCCCTCAGAAAGTGCTGACTCTTAGCTTTCACTAGCATTTTGACTACAGAAGAATAACAGAGCAAGACTTCTGTTGCAAAGAACTCAGAAAGACCATAGCAGGTCAGAATATTTTTTACACTGTGGATTCCTGTGTGAAATCTCTGGGTTTACCTTGTGACTTGTGTAGCTTTTTGCTAATATCGCACGGCCCTTTAAAAGGGATTTCATAGCACCCTGGTTGAGAATCACTTCTGTAGACTGAGTAGGATGCAAAAGGAAGCATGTTCACTTTCTTATAAAATGTTTTCCTCTCATGTGAACATGATATCAAAAAAAGGAAGACAAGTGATAAGAACATGATTTACTGTAATTCCTGGACTGATTCTGAAATGGTAAGGAGTGAAGGAGATTCTTGTTAAAAATAAGGGTGAGATTCTATGTAATTAGATAGTCAGAAAGCAGCAGTTTGAAATGGAGGGCATGTTGGTGCGGTGGGTAGGAAATAGGAGGAAGAAATAATTATTTGGTGTGCTGCAGATTTCCTCTGACCTCTTGAGGCCTTATTACACTGTAATTTTGACCAGGTCCTGAAGCTCTTAACCCCTGTATTGTCCACACACTAACACATTAAAGCGGTTTTAAGCACTTGTTATGCAGCTTAAAGTTATGCCACTCCAGGGCAGGATTATCTCTGATCTGCACGAACCAGTTCCTGTTCCACTAAGGAGTGGCCACACCCCACAGATGTACCGCCCAAGTTGAAGTCCTCCCATATTCCAGGATTTCTTACACATAGAGCAGGGGTAGAAGCCTGTCTGGGCTCATGCTCACCAGCCCTCTAGGGGCAACTCACAGATACAGCTCCTAGTCCTGCCCTTGCTCACCAAGCCTCTAGTGTTACATCATACCTAGGTAGGTCGGGGCCAGTCTGAGAAGGTTTCTGGATTAAGGGTGTTACTGTTCCAAACTCCAAGCTAGCATAACACTGATCAACCTTTTTTGTGGCTCACACTGTAAGGTTTAACAAGGCCCTTCGGTTACCCACTTGAGCTGGGTAGAAATTTTGATAGTACTGGTCATTAGTAATAGAGGTATCAAAACATTTTGGCTTTTCAATTGTTATAACATCTAAGGCTGCTTACAGACATTAAAAACAAACAAAACAAAACCCCACTCAAAAACTACTTTACCAGAAGCAGCAGCACATTAGTTCAACCTGGCTTTACAGCATCTATATAGATTGGGTTTTCAGCAGGGATTTTTGGTGCTTTTATCTAATAGCTGATTCAATCAATTAGATAAAATTACCCAAAAAAGCCCCAGTAAAGTACCCGATCTATACAGATGTTGGGCAAGCTGGATCCAACTAATGCAATATCTCTTCTGGGCATACTCTGGGCTCAGCATGGGGGCACGTAGAGTTTAAAGTGCCAGGTTTGGGGGGTTTTGTATATCTGTAAGCAGCCTAAAAGACATTTTCCACCAGAAAGTAATTGTCAAAACACTTTTTGACCAGTTCTTACGTCAACTTAAGATCGCAGTTTCCTTATCTCTGTAACATGGACAACAATATTTGCTATCATTCAGGTTGAGACAGGACTTAAATTGTAAAGGTCTAAGGTTCTCAGGTGGAAAACTCTAAAACAAGAGCATAATGAAATGTCTTGTATTTGAAAGCTCGTCCAACACTATCCAAACTACATAGCTGGTTCAATAAAAGATAACTTCAAGGAATCTTTGCTTGTCACATAATTAAAAACTCTGTCAGATACCGGTGCATGAATTTTTAAAAACTGCAAGTAACTTCAAGCTCAAGGATCAAGATGTTTCCTAGACCCTTAGCATTCAAAAAGGTTAGCAGTGTTCCTGTGCCAGTGTCTCACTCTTCTGTTTCCTGTTGCCTGAATAAACTATTTGTTAATTAAGTTGAACATGCCATTCCCTGGGGGAAAACACTAGCATATTGATTAGATTTTCTAATATAAATACACAATATTTAGGTGGGGCACTGCACTTCTGTTTGACATTTGTGTGTGTGTGATCGAGTAATATTCATCTTTAGCTTCTTTCTGCAAGTCACTGGTAATAATGAGTATAATCCTATGGAAGAAAAAAGGAATTATATATATGTGACCACCTGTACCTCATGCCTAACTATAAAAATATAATAGTACATTTTCAGTCTTCATAAACTCTCTGTATTTAGTAATATATTTTTCTGTATCACTAAGACCTCAGTCCTGCAAATACCATCCAAAAGATTTCCTGTGTATAATTAAGATTACTAAAGTTAAGAATACACATGAATGTTTAGCTGGATTGAAGCCTTGACCAGATTTAATA